GAGCAGAGGGAAGTGGGGAGAGTAGGAAGAGGGGTCGAGGGGAGGAGGCGCCGGCGGAAGGGGGCGGGGCGTGGGCACTGACGCGGAGCGTCTTCCGGGCTCCCGGCTCCCGGGTGGGTCCCCGCGCCTCTTGCCTTGTTTGGTCAGAGGACGCGGCCGTGCGGGCCCCGCCCCCACGCGCCCGCCGCCCAGACGCCCGGGCCTCGAGCTTCGCAGGCAGGGAAAGGGAGCGCCACCGTGAGCCCAAACTTCTCAGCTCCCGCCAGGCCGAGGCGCGGGATCCCCGGAGCTCTAGGGTCCCGGGAAGCCAGGAGCCACAACTCCGCCATTCCTATAAGTGCTGAGACACCAGGGCCTTGAATTCTAAGTGGCGAAGAGGCTACCTCTGAGATTCCAAAATGTGTCAATGTAAGAAACGTCCAGAGCTGTAAGAATTTTTATGAGTTTATTTGAGCCAAAGTGATGACAATTACCAGGAAGGAAAATCTCAAGGGACTGAGAAAATGCTCCAGAAAATGGCAGATTTGCATCTTACCTTCCTTATACATTACGATCAGAGGAGGAGCCCCAAGGGGTTACTTGAAATCTGTTGGCGATTGATGGGTGAGGCGGGAGAAAGCAAAGGAGGGAAACCTCTGGGATTGGGTAAAGAGTAAAATAGAGGCAAATGCTTCTTTACCTTGGTGGGTACAGGGTAGCTGTTAACATTTACCGCAGAGTTGGTACTCCCCAGAGCAGGATAACAATGGGGGCTCTGTGGTCTCCTGTTCTGGTGGGAGACTGTGCCCTGAGGGGGTCTGGAAAAAAGGGATCACCGGCTTTCCGAAAGGACGCTATCTTAGATGCAAAGTCAGCAGACGGGCTCAGGTAAGGCAAAGACTGACCTTTGTCAAGAAAGATCCCACCTAGGACTTGACTACCCGCCGTGATTTGTTTTTACCTATAGTTTTAATTTCAGACCATCCTATGTGGTGACTTTAGGTCTCTGCGTTTGCAAGGTTTGCCATGCCGGCCTCCCCTGAGCTTGTCCGGTTTAGTACCTGGCCCTTTTTCACCCACAGCTGCGATTCCAAAATCCTGAGACTTTAATGCTGCCTCCTCCAAGATTGCGAGAGTCTGAGTCTTCCACCCCCCTAGGTCCTGGAAGGCCGGGTGGTGGGCCCCCAGGACCTCAGCGCTCCCGGGGCGGGCCCCACCCCCGCCAGCCCCTGGCC